GCGGGAGGGAAGCCTCATGCAAAACAATGAGAGGCTGACGGGGCATGCAGCTATTCATGGCTGTTTGCATGGAATCGGATATGAAGCGATTACCTCTTGATGATTGGCCCTGAACAAAGACTGTTTGCTTCCAGGGCTGACCATCCATACTAACCACTGCATGTTTGATTATATACGAAGAGCTGAGGGTGTGATTTAAAAAAAATGAAAACAGGGTCACATTCCCTAACCCCCACAATCAAAAGCTTGTCCCCCTTGAATCATGGGGTAGATCAAATATGCAAGATGGAGGAACTTTACCATATAAACGAAGATAAGATGGAGAAATATCATATAAGATGGAATAAATGGGAGGAATTTAAAAAAAAATCAAAAAATTAAAGTTAAATAAAGAGGGGTAAAAAAGTATTTAGGCAGCCACCAATTGTGCATCATAGGTAGACCTCAACTATGAGAGACAAAATGAGAAAAAAAAAATCCAGACAATCACATTGGCTGATTTGGAAAGAATTTATTTGCAAATTATGATGGAAAATAAGTATTTGGTCACCTACAAACAAGCAAGATTTCTGGCTCTCACAGACCTGTACCTTCTTCTTTAAGAGGCTCCTCTGTCCTGCACTCATTACCTGTATCAATGGCACCTGTTTGAGGTTGTGGACAGGTGTCTTTTATACTGATAACAAGTTCAAACAGTCACACTCCAAACTCCACTATGGTGAAGACCAAAGAGCTGTCGAAAGACACCAGAAACAAAATTGTAGACCTGCACCAGGCTGGGAAGACTGAATCTGCAATAGGCAAGCAGCTTGGTGTGTAAACAAATAAACTGTGGGAGCAATAATTAGAAAATGGAAGACAAACAAGACCACTGATAATCTCCCTCGATCTGGGGCTTCACGCAAGATCTCACCCCGTGGGGTCAAAATGATCACAAGAACGGTGAGCAAAAATCCCAGGACCACAGGACCTAGTGAATGACCTGCAGAGAGCTGGGACCAACGTAACAAAGGCTACCATCAGTAACACGCTACGCCACCAGGGACTCAGATCCTGCAGTGCCAGATGTGTCTCTCTGTTTAAGCCAGTACATGTCCGGGCCCGTCTGAAGTTTGCTAGAGAGCATTTGGATGATCCAGAAGAGGATTGGGAGAATGTCATATGGTCAGATGAAACCAAAATAGAACGGTTTGGTAGAAACTCAACTCGTTGTGTTTGGAGAAGAGAGAATGCTGAGTTGCATCCAAAGAACACCATACCTACTGTGAAGCATGGGGGGGCAACATCATGCTTTGGGGCTGTTTCTCCGCAAAGGGACCAGGACGACTGATCCATGTACAGGACAGAATGAATGGGGCCATGTATCGTGAGATTTTGAGTGCAAACCTCCTTCCATCAGCAAGGGCATTGAAGATGAAACGTGGCTGGGTCTTCCAGCATGACAATGATCCCAAACATACCGCCCGGGCAACGAAGGAGTGGCTTCGTAAGAAGCATTTCAAGGTCGTGGAGTGGCCTAGCCAGTCTCCAGATCTCAACCCCATAGAAAACCTTTGGAGGGAGTTGAAAGTCCGTGTTGCCCAGCGACAGCCCCAAAACATCACTGCTCTAGAGGAGATCTGCATGGAGGAATGGGCCAACATACCAGCAACAGTGTGAGCCAACCTTGTGAAGACTTACAGGAAACGTTTGACCTCTGTCATTGCCAACAAAGGATATATAACAAAGTATTGAGATGAACTTTTGATATTGACCAAATGCTTATTTTCCACCATAATTTGCAAATAAATTCTTTCCAAATCAGCCAATGTGATTGTCTGGATTTCTTTTCTCATTTTATCTCTCATAGTTGAGGTCTACCTATGATGCCAATTACAGGCCTCTCTCATCTTTTTAAGTGGGAGAACTTGCACAATTGGTGGCTGACTAAATACTTTTTTGCCCCACTTTATGTGTATGTATGTGAGAATATAAAATAAAAAGAGCTCACATTTGTATCCTCTTTGGAAGATGTGGATCCCAGAAGGATTAGGAGAATGCAGAGCGAAGGGGGAGGGGGGGGGTGGTTGAGGAGTGGGGGGGTGGTAGATAGGAGATATGGGGGGGGGGGGAGGTGAATTGGGTGATATGATTAATGTATTATTATAATGAATGTATTATCACTGTGTTAATGTTTTTAAAGAGAAAGATTGTATAATTTACATTTGAAAATTAATAAATATTTAAATAAAATAAAAAAAAAAAAAAAAAATCACACATGCATACAGTGTTTCCCCAGAAACACAATTTTTTTACAGAAAAAAAATAAAATTCAACTACTGTAAGCACCATTGTGAGTGTTAAATGGTTCATCTCAACTTTCTCACAATTTCTGAGGGACAGCCAGGTCTGTCAAAGGAAGTTTAAAAAAACAACAGTATTTGATAGCAGGATCACCGGCTAAAACAAAGGGAAAAAAAAAGCAAATGCAACCATCACATTTAGAGATTTGTAAGGTGCAATAATAAAAGGTTTGCTTTTGGGTTAAGATATGCTTTAAATATTTGTTTCATGCAGAAAAATAACTATTACTTATCATAGTGACAATTATTTTTGTGAACTGAACATTTTTAGGAGCAAGTTATCATAAGTAGTGGTGTTATAGTAACTCCTCCTACTTACCAAACCCAGTCTATTGCATGGTGCCAATGGATTTAGCACAAAAACAAGAAAAAACAGCTATGTGAATATTTAATGTACAATAGACCAATAAGGAACGGTTCTAGAATTTTAGACATTTAAGACAGCTTAAGCCCTAACCCGGTAATGATTATTATTGCGTGCAGCATGGATCTTACAAAATAGGCATATACATTTGTGACATGACATAAAATTAAATTGAATTATCAAATGTATTCTTGAGAAGAAGTATTAATTGAAGATTTGATTATTTTGCTTAAAACAAAAAAAAGAAAAAAAGCTCAGTGAAAAGTGGTTCATAAAGGGGATTTAACCTCCACTTATGAAAAGGTTTCTTCATGTGAAAAGTTTAATGTGTTTCTAAGTGCAAAAAAAAGGAATTTTCACAGTTGGAGCACATTACACCGTGTTCCAAATTATTATGCAAATTATATTTTTCTTATTTACCTAAATAATTGATGTAAATAACAGTCAGCATAATTCTCATGTTATCAACTATTAGGAGGTTTGTTCAATAAAATTTGAATTGTACTCTTAATAACAGTATTTTTTTTAAACATAAAAAACTTACAATGCACTGTTCCAAATTATTACGTACAGTAAGTTTCAAAACACTTTATAGGTTGTAAAGAACTGAAAACTGTCATTTGTTGTGTTTGCAGCATATTTACTGAAATCACAAGCTATTTCAATCAAACTTTTAACAACATTTTAACTTTTTAAACATTTTACATTTTAAACATATGCATGCGAGTGAGAGTCACAGTCACGGAACGGCGCTCTGAAGGACTGGCATGGTTATGCCGTTCCTTCAGAGCTTATGCATGAGTGACGTTACCGGCTGCTGAAAAAGTAAATATCTCCTAAACGGTGCATGTTTAGGAGATATTTGCTATACCTATAGGTAAGCCTTATTATAGGCTTACCTATTGGTAAAAATCAAAGAAGCAACTTTACTACCACTTTAAAGGCAATTGAAAAAAAAAAAAAAAAAAAAAAAAAAAACTTAAATCAGCCTTAATCCTCCAAATCTTAGGTCCCCTGCCGGCACTCCTGGCCTCTCCCTCCTGTCTAGTGCCCCCAGAGCAAGCAGCTTGCTATGGGGGGGGCACCTGAGCAGGCTTGCTCCTGAGCTGCTGCTCTGTGTGTCCATTCACACACAGTGCCACAGCTCGGCCCCCTCTCTCTCATTTTTGGTTCACTGGCTGTGATTGACAACTGCTGTCTCAGCCAATGAGGAGGGAGAGTCCCTGGAGAGCCAAGGCTCTCATGTGCATTGCTGGATCATGATGGAGCTCAAGTAAGTATTAGGAGGGGCTGGGACGCTGCTGCACACAGAAGGTTTTTTGCATTCAGTGCATGACGAAAAAAAAAAAAAAAAAATAGAGCCTTTACAACCAATTTAATTTACACACACACACCACACACACACAAATGTATTTACATAACTTCAAAATGACATGGTTAGTACTTCTGCTTTTCAGCTCTTTGCTTAAATCCCTTCACAGCAATATCTGCATAATGTGGAAGACTGTAAATAGATGCTGAAGCTTTTGTCACTTTTTCAACATGACAGCTTTATCACAGTGATAAGTTGTAGCACCATATTGCTGTTGTATTAAACTCTGTCACAACATTTACTTCACACATAGAGTTTATGGTATTATTGAGGGTTAGGTCCAGGTTAAATAATACAAATAGGGAGTAGGTTTTACAGCTTAAGTTAAGGTCAGGTTATGAATGAAGATTAGGGGGCTGTGTTTAGGTCACAGAAAGTAATTAGTAATTTTCCAGATGTGGAAACTGAATTTTTTTCAGGCGTGATAAGCGTGTAACACATTTAGAAAATGCTAGTTGTGCCACACTGTGTGGCGAAATTTTTAGCATCAGGAAAAACTATTATTATTATTATTATTATTATTATTATTATTAAAACTAAGATATAAAGTGTTCAGCTAAGCCTGCAAAAAAACAAACTGCTTTTCTGTAAAATCAACCGATAGAAGCTTGCAAAAATTGTTTTGTTCTCATTGTACAAGCTTTCGTTGTGCCAGGTTAAAAATATAAAAAGTTTGCTAATAGCTGTGCTGTCTGTCTGCTGTTGCTCTATTATATCACGATAAACCTCATTTACCAAACAAAATTTAATAAGAATTACCCAAACCAACAATTTATCATTTTAGCCAGCTATACCAAACTAGCAGGAAGAAAGAAAATCTATTTGGTTGTTAAGCAGACAAAGCCTACTCCTTTAGCAGGGAAGTGCTACAAACATTATAAATAAAACTTTTATAATGTAGACATTTTACACAAAATATTACCATTCTCATATGCGGCCACTGCTATGGACTTGTTTATCCTAACGAAAGAAACTTGAGGACTTTGTCCAGAATGATCCAGATGAGGGGTGGTTTCAAGAAGAGATTCAGCAAGTCCCGATGTTCTTGTGTCCCATAGACGAACATCTCCTGATGTGTATCTTTAAAGGCAAACGTCATTGAGTAAATACACAGGAGGAGGGAACTAATTAGACAGGTACTAGTTTTAGCATATTGCCCTTTTAGAATAAAATCTTTCAGCAATCATTTTGCACATGATTAATCAATCCTTTTTAAAATACCTTTTGATCCTGCCAGAAATTAAGAAGGCTGCTAACTTGTGCTCCCTGCCTCTGCTGAATTTTATTTCGTCTTTGTTCCCAGCTATCGCAAAGCACATATTCACATGTTATAGGGACAATGATGAGGGAGATATTGTGTAATCCTTCTCATGAGTGGATAATGCTGCTCTTTCATAGATATAGTACAGAGAGTAAGTGTTGTCACCCAATACAAGGAGGCATGATTACTGGCAGGATCATGAGGTGGAAGCAAAGGAAACAAACCTGAAAAAGAAAACTTGTATTTTGTACTCTGGCTGCTGAAAATGTGATTTTGTTCTATGTTCCCATCAACAAATGCAGACGCCTCATCTGGCCTGGTAAGGTTAAGACTGAAATTGGCAAACATTACATTTCTGTTCTTGAATATATAGCTTTGAGCACAACTGTATATGTATTTATTAAACGTTTGCATACCCTGGCAGAAATCGTGAAATTTTGGCATTGATACTGAAAATATAACTGATCATGCCAAAAACCTGTCTTTTATTTAAAGCAGAGTTCCACTCAAAAGTGGAAGCTCTGCTTACCATCTCCTCCTTCCCTCTGCTGCCACATTTGGCACCTTTTGGGGGGGGGAGCAGGTACCTGGTTTTGACATGTACCCGCTCCCACTTCTGGCATAGTTCACCACGGCGAACTGAGCCAGAGGTTGGGCCCCCCTTGTTCCCCACGCAGCCCTCTGCTTTTTTCTCTTTGCCAAGATTACGATGCCAGCACCCAACAGCCGATTGAAGAATCATCTCTGGGTGAGGACACAGCTGAATTTCTGGACAGGTAAGTGCCCTAATATTAAAAGGAGGAGGGGCTGGAACTCCTCTTTAACCACTTGCCTACCAGGCACTTATACCCCCTTATTTACCAGGCCAATTTTCAGCTTTCAGCACTGCCGCACTTTGATTGACAATTGCGCGGTCATGCAACATTGTACCCATATGAAATTTTGATCATTTTTTTCTCACAAATAGAGCTTTCTTTTGGTGGTATTTAATCGCCACTGGGCGCTCTACTTTTTGCGCTATAAATAAAAAATATGCAAAAAATTGAAAAAAAAAAAAAAAAGTTTCTTTGTTTTATTATAAAATTTTTCAAACAGGTGTTTTTTCTCCTTCACTGATGTGCGTTGATGAGGCAGCACTGATGGGCACTGATAGGTGGCACTGATAGGCAGCACTAAAGGGCACTGATAGGCAGTACTGAGGTGGCACGGATAGGCGGCACTGATCGACAGCACTAATGAGGTGTCACGGATAGGACGGCACTGACTGGCATCACTGCTGGGCACTGACTGGCACAACCCCTGGGCACTGACTGGTGGCACTGACTGGCAGCACTGCTGGGCTGCACTGGTGGGTGGCACTGGTGGGTGGGCACAGGTGGTGGCACTGCTGGGCACAGGTGGGTGGGCACAGGTGGGTGGCACTGCTGGGCACAGGTGGGTGGCACTTCTGGGCACAGGTGTGACACTGCAGAGTGGCACAGGTGGGTGCACTGCTGGGCACAGGTGGGTGATCTGCTGGGCACAGGTAGGCGGAGCTAGTGGGCGCACTGCTGGGCACAGGTGGGCGGAACTTGCGGGTGGCACTGCTGGGCACCGATCATCAGGGCACTGATCATCAGTGCCCTGATGATCGGTGCCGATCCCCGCTCTGACAACTGCCGGTTCTCGGCAGTACTTTCCTCACGATCTGACAGCGTGAGGAAAGTGCAGCCGAGAACCGGCACTTGCATTTCCCTCTGATCAGCGTGTCATTGGACACCGCTGATCACGTGGCAAAAGGCCGCTGTGATTGGCCTTTTACCACATCACGTGATCAGCTGTGTCCTACGGACACAGCGATCACGGAGATCACCGGTGCGCGCCCCCCTGGGGTGCGCAGGAGAGAGCGTTCTGGGAGGACGTCATATGACGTCCACTCAGAACTGGCCGGCCGCAGTGCAGCCGTCATTCGGCTATCTGCGGTCGGCAGGTAGTTAAGGATAGTGATCTTATAAAGCCATTTACTATCACATAGCTGCTTGGCTCCTTTTTAAATCATAATGGTAATAGAAGTCACCAAATGGCCTTGACCAAAAAAGTTTACATACCCTGGAATGTTTGGCCTTGGTACAGACACACAAGTTGACACATACAGGTTAAAATGGCAATTAAACACTTACCGTCCTAAGGATTTACCCCCCTTCCTGACCAAGCCATTATTTTGCGTTACGGCGCTGCGTTACTTTAATTGACAATTGTGAGTTCCTGCAACACTGCACCCAAAATGAAATGTATGTCCTTTTTTTCCCCACAAATTGAGCTTTCTTTTGGTGGTATTCGATCGCCTGTGCATTTTTAATTTTTTGCTCTATTAAAAAAAAATGACTGACAATTTTGAGGAAAAAAAATTATTTTTGACTTTTTGCTATTAAACATGTCCAGTAAAATAAAAAAAAAAAATTATTTTCACTAATGATGGTGGTGATCAGCGACTTATAGCGGGACTGCAGGAATTCTGACGCTGGGGGGAACTGACTCGGTGTCACTGACATCACCAGTGACACCAATACAGTTATCAGTGCTAAGAGAAAAAAAAACACTGACACTGTACTAATGGCACTGGGCAGGAAGGGGTTAACATGAGGGGCGATCAAAGGGTTAACTGTGCTGTTTTACTTGTGTGTTCGCTTCACTGTAATCCAAAGCCATCCAAAGCAGTGTGCACAAGCTGACAGAGAGGAGAACTGCTTTCTTTACAAACAGTTATCCTACCTGTCGTAGATGCTCATCAATCAACGTCAGGGACCCGAATGGTGGCGCGCGTATATATATGTGATTTTGCGCACCCGTGCCGCCCTGTAGCAGTATTTCTGCTATAGGGCGGTTGGGAAGCGATTAAAAGGTTAATTTTTCACATCTGTGGCTTTTTAAATTGCAATTAGCGTCTGTGCATAAATAGCCAATGAGTTTGTTAGCTCTCACGTGGACGCACCAAGCAAACTAGATAGTGAGCTATGGGGAACAGAAAAGAACTGTCAAAAGACCTGCATAACAAGGTAATGAAACTTTTTAAAGATTGAAAAGAATATAAAAGACATTCAAGCCTTGCATATGCCAGTCAGTACTTTTCAATCGCTTATTAAGAAGTGGAAAATTCAAGGATCTCTTGATACCAAGCCAAGGTTAGGTAGACCAAAACAGCCACAACTGCCAGAAGAATTATTTAGGATACAAAGAAAAACCCACACGTAACCTCAGAAGAAATACAAGCTGTTCTGGAAAAAGATGGTGCGATTGTTTCAAGGAGTTGCCTGAAAGAAGGCTTTAGTGCACCAATACCACAAAAAAAAAGCCTGGTTACAGTATGCCCGACAACACCTTGACATGGCTAACTTTCTGGCACACTAATCTAGAGTGAGACCAAAAGGGAGTTTTATGGTCACAACCATAAGCACTATGTTTGGAGAGGGGTCAACAAGGTCAAGTGCAACAAAAATATCATCCCCACTGAGAAGCATGATGGTGGTGGCGGCCAATAGTTTGGTGGGTGTGAACTCTAAAAGGCACGGGGAATGTTGTGAAATTCGATGGCAAGATGAACGCAGCATGTTATCAGAAAATATTGGCAGACAATTTGCATTCTTCTGCATGAAATCTGCATATGGTACGTTCTTGGACTTTTTAGCACAACAATGACCTTAAGCACAAAGCCAAGTGACCCTTCAGTATTTACAGAGCAGAAAAAAAAAGTGAAGGTTCTGGAGTGGCCATCACAGTCTACAGACCTTAATATCATCAAGTCACCCTGGGGAGATCTCGAACGTGTGGTTCACGCAAGACCAAAGACTTTGCATGATCTGGAGGCATTTTTAGGGATGTGCAATTCATATGCTGCTACGCCCGGGACATGCATTTCTGGGCACCGGGGCAGGTCGTTTTTTTCTTGCTTTAGCCCTGCTGCGGGCAGGCAGCAGAGCTCACCTGTCAGGTGGAAGTATACGGGTGGCAGCGCTGCCGCCTGATTGCTTCCACACAGCCCAGAGGGCCAGCCGCCGTCCCCCCTGCCCGCTATATGTCTCCCGGGCTCCTCTTGCCCATCTGCGGGCTCGAGACTGGTTCAGTGGGTGCAGGCAGTATGCCAGGATGTGGTATAGGGGCTCCCCTCCCCTTCTTGTGCTGACCCGGAATTGATTGGATGTCACTTCCAGGTCCCCTTTGACACATTCCCGGCCATCGAGGCTGGGAAAGAATGTAATGCAGTGAAATGTGCACTGATTACAGTCAGTGTAATACATGGGAGACGTGCAGGGTCTTTTAGTCCCTGGATGTCTCAAAAAAGAGAACCTGTCACCACAAAGCATCACAGAGAACTTTTTTTTAGCCCCTATGTGATAAAAAACAAAACAAAAACAAAAAAAAAAAAAAAAACAGTAAGTTTTTTTTTTTCATTTTTAGAAAATGCAAGTTACACTCAAGCATATAAAACCCCCCCCCCCCACCAAATTGCTTTTTCAAGACCCCCCATCCCCATATATGTACGCACGTACAAAATGTAAGAGCACACACCTACATTACGATACATGTTACGTATTGCTGCGCACACCAGGATGAAAGCAATAATTCTAGCACCAGACCTCCTCCATAACATTAAACTGATGACCTATAAGGGGCTTTAAAAGCGTCACCTATAGAAAATATAGGGTGACTAAAGTTTGTTGCTATTTCACAAGCACACGCAAATTTAAGGTTTGACATGTTGGATATCTATTTACACGATGCAACCTCGTCTTTTATATTTTACAAACAAATTGGATAATTTATTGCTTTTTGTGCCCTAAAA